AAGTGGGAGAACTTGCACAATTGGTGGCTGACTAAATACTTTTTTGCCCCACTGTAAGTTCCCTTTGTAGTCCCATATCACCATGATGGCTGATGGAGAGATAAGGTTCTGGTTAATAGGTGGCACCTGACCTTAACTTTGGTGCTGGAACCACTAGATAACATTGATAAGAGGATCAAGCAGAATTCAGCAATTACCCACTTTGATGATAGAAGGCTGTTCTCAGCCCTCAGTAAATGGATGGCCTTTATGTAAGTCACATCACTGTTTGGAAAAGCAAATGGAAATCTTTCTGCTCCATTCCTCCTATGGAGCACAAATGTTCCCCCTGTACACACACACAAACACACAAGAATACCCACAGAGATATCTCATATGGGTTACTTTAAGCTCTGTGCTGTAGAGAACATTCCTTACCACAAGAAAATTAATGGGAAAATATAGACACAAAAAGTATAAAAGTTAGCCAAGAGTGATCATCTTCTCCCAGATATGGATACATAGTAGTTTTGCCAAGTTCATATTATGCCTTGCTTCCTAGCTTGAAGGTAGTGAGAGGCATCATATAACAAATGATATTTGACAAGTTACCAAAAGAGGATGCCCAGAGAAGGGTGTTCCCCAACCAGATTTTTCTGTTTTATTTTAAAGGCCTAAAAAGTCTAGGTTTAAATAAATGAGTCAAAAACATTATATTTGTTCATTTATTTATTGAGAAAAATGACAGCTAGTTTGGTCTAGTGGTGAAGGCACCAGGATAGAAACCGAGGGACTGTGAGTTCTAGTCCCGTCTTAGGCATGAGAGCTGGCTGGGTGACTTTAAGCCAGTCGCTCTCTCTCAGCCCATCTCACCTCACAGGGTGGTTGTTCTGGGGAAAATAGGAGGAGGAAGGAGTCTTAGGTATGTTCGCTGCCTTGAGTTATTTATAAAAATAAGAAAGGTGAAATAAAAAATCTAAAAAAAGAAGATCCGTAGCTACATATTTGTGTGTGGCAAAAGTATGTGAACCTCTAGGATTATCAGTTCATTTAAAGAGGAAATTAGAGCCAGGTGCTTTAATCAATGGGATGATAATCAAGTGTGTGTGGGAGATCCCATCTTATTTAAAGAACAGAATTCTGGGTATTCAGTATCAAAGTCTTATCCTCACAACAGGTATGTGGAAGTGTGTCATGGCTGGATTTCTGAGGACCTCCAAAAGGGTCCACCAGCTTTTAAGCACCACTATATGTTAATCAATTCTGTAAACCACTGAATAGTTGGAGCTATATGTTTGTCTTTCCAATGCAGAAAAGTAAGTCTTTTGACTGTAAGTCCATTTCCTTTGTCCATAAATCAAAATAAAGCATTAATCTCACTGCATCTCCAACAGTATAAATGCAGTGAAGTCATTTCTAAAATATTTCTTGTTGAAAATGATTCAGTGTAAAAATCTATTGGAATTTTTGTGTTTTTTAAAAAATGCATCTTTTTATTGATGAAATAAAACATGCAAGCAAAAGAAGCAAACAAAAAAAAGATACATAGAGGATTTTTTAAAAATTAAAAATTAAAAATAAAGATTAAAAAAAATATTATAAAAAGGACATTCTGATAGCCTCCCTCTCTCTCTTTCTCCCATTTTCCCCCCAGCCACTAGTTGCTACTTGAATATTTTTATACTTCACTTTGGACATCATTACTCATTTAAAGACATAACTTGGCTTCTGCAGTCTGCAATCTGCTATAAAATTAGTGGAAATTAATTACTGGAAATTAATAATAAAATAATAATAAATAATAAAACAAAAAAACTATCTGAAAGACAATAAGTACAATGTTATATGTAATAAATGCATATGTAATAAATGCTTAGGAGTGTTAAAGATAGTAACTTTGCTGTTTAAGCTGACAGTAAAATCATGAATTTCTAAAAATTGCTTATGAATGGTTGCCAGAGAACTATAAATGAAATGTATATTAACGTTGTATTGATATGTGTATATTAATGTAATGTGTATTAATGTTATGTACTTGTTGCAGGAACTTTGAAAGAACTATTTGGTTAGGATAGAGAAAGGATAGTTTGTTGAACTACATAGTTTCATTAATGCTATGTTAGATTTCAAATTACAGGAAAAGAAAATACACCACATGCATAACTCTATCTCTTTCAACAGGAAAAGACCATCCTCAACTTACAAAAAACACTTACTCAGTTGGAGGTGTCTTTAGAGTGAGTAATAAAATTACAACTTTTGGTTATTTTGAAACTCATTTTAAAATGGTCAAGGGTAATTTTAATGAGATTATAAATCTAATTGAGCCACTGTGTTCTTCATGAGGTAAAATAGAAGACAGAAAAGACTGAAATTTTGTAGTTTAGCTAATTTTATTTTAGATAATTGCAATTATATAACAGAGCAGTTATTAATGTAATGCTCACTCAACATAGAATGATGGACAAGTAAAATAATTTAAAATTCTGTTGCATACTATAGCTTTTTTAAAATGGCCAGTTACCTTGTAAAATAGTTACACTTTCTTTATTCAAACCACATTAATAACCACTCAGTTTAATCTCACTGAAGATAATTGAGCTGTAAAGCTACTTTGTAGCTTTTCTGAACTTGTTTTCTAATTCTGCTGACTGCTGTTAACGTCTTTTTTTAGTATCTAACTATATTTCTGCAAATTTTAGTTAAAATTAATCACTTCAATGTATAATCTCAATAGTGGCATTATCCATGACTCGGGTCATGAATTTTTATATTAATAATATTTGATACCGTCTACCAACAAATGAGCAGAGTAAGGTAGAACTCTGGTCTTGAGTGGCAGTCTCATATCAATTACTGTCCCTTTGTACAAATAGGAAAAGAAATGAAACAGGTAGAGATTGTTCACTGTGACATCTCAAACTGAAATTATGATCTATTTTGTCCAGACAAGGTAGGAGTGTAAACCAGTGATAAACAAAATTTGTTCCAGACCTATAAATTATGGCTCATTTGAATGCGATAAAGCGTAATCTTGAGCTTTTCATGTTAAGCTATCTCTTTTTTTCCCCATTAACTGTTTGCATGAAGGGAAGAACAAAGAGCAATGTGCCCCAGTCTTTTTATTCTAGACTTATTTTTATATACAATGTGGTCAGTAATTGCTTTATCACATAATGGTAAACCATTGTTTACTGTAACTCTGACTTATTTATGCAGACCAAGTTATTTACAAATTATGTTCGCTAAACATAGTTTAAGGTAAAAACCTTGGACTAGTTGGTTTGTTATTCTTGACTTGGGTTAAATGATTTGTCAATATGTCTAAATTGTGTATACTCCTAATGTGTTTCATTGTTCTGTCCATTTATTGTCTGGCTACAAAGATGTGAATAAAAAGCAGTCTTGGAGGAAAAGTAAATCTTTTTAGAAGGACTTTAAACTCATTTCCCTTTATCAAAAAAGACATATTTATTTAATGCATGTTTGATTCTAGCAAGCTTTAGTAAACTACACCAAATGCATTTGCTAGTTTTAACTAAAAGCCTAGTCAGCCAAAACTATCCTTTCCTACTAAGTTGTTTTCTGCAACAATTCACCTTACTTTATATCCTCAGGATCTGTGATATTTTAACATCTGATTTACTGGTTGTTTCCTAATAAATTTTAAATAACAGGAAAAATTGGTTTACTGAAAGTATTATATAGCAGGAAGGACTTTTTCAAATGAAGATTAAAAGTTTTAAAAAGAATGAAAGGCATGGGAGGCATACTTGAGAATGTCTTTTTTCTCTTGGCTATGGCAAAAGTTCCCAAAAGAAAAATATTCTTCTTGCTTGCCCCTTTTACTACTGGTTGGCTACAGGGATCTGTTGATCCATTGCCACTCTTCAGGCTCCAAAAGGAGCTTCAGGGTCTTAGGGGTAATTTTAGTCTTAGGTGACTAATTTTAATAGGGAAGTACCCCATGCTTTTCTTCACTATCTAGTTTGTAGAACAAGATGTAGCTAGTAACAAAGTATGGTTTGTACAATTCAGTACAATAGTAAGCTTTAGTTAATTGCTACTAATTTCTAAATTATGCCCATCGTGTATATACCATAATGCAAAAAGATAAATGATGTTTAAGGTTTTTCAAATCCCCCATTTGCTAGCCAATTAAAGGATGCCTTAAGTGGAAAAGATCGTGAACTTGCCAGCCTCCATCGCCAGTTTGATGCAGTACACTTGGAGCTTGGAGAAACTGGAAGAGTGAAAGAAATGGCTCTGAAAGAAAACAGAAGATTGCAGGATGATCTAGCTATAATGGCTAGAGAAAACCAGGTAAAAATACAGTAATTCATAGCGTGTACATCATGATTTATTTTGTATCTATAATTATACTTACAATGGATGTGATGTAGCTATTCTGAAACATCATTGTAACCAAAACAATGCGAACATTTGTTTTAAGTAAAATAAAATACAGGTAGTCCTCGCTTAATGATGGTAATTGAGACCAGCAACTCCATCACAAAGCGACATGGTCAAAAAGCGTGATGTCATGTGATCATGCTGACTTAAGATGGCAGTTGCGGCAGTCCAGCTGCTGTCATTAGGCGAATCCCACGCAGTTGCAGCGTCCCAAGATCATGTGATCGCTATTTGTCACCTCCTGCCAGCCTCCCCATTGACTTTGCTTTGTTTGTCAGAAGCTGGCAGTGAAGGTAATTAATTGCAAGCTGGTTGCCAAGTGCCCAAATCATGATGACATGTCTGTGGGGAAGCTGCAACGGCGACAACTATGAGGACTTGTAAGTCCCCTTTGTTCAGCATCATCGTAACTTTGAATGGTCGCTGAACAAGTGGTCATTCAACTAGGACTACCTGTATTTCATATTTTGGAGTGTGAACAGGTTTTGTAAGAATTTTACCTTGTTCGCAATCCTGTTTGTTTTAGTTACAGATTCCAATCTCGTGCTCTCTACTACAACTAAGCATTAATATCCCAAGTTATCTCCCTAATTAAAGTCTTTTGCTTGTAGGTTTTCTAAATTTTACTAGTTTGTAGTTCCTATATAAGTTACTTATTTTCCTAGATCTTGAGTGGCTAAGTATTACAAAAAATTATTATTGTTTAGAAATAATATTGTCTTGTTTGAGTATTAAATAAATTACAGCAATTGGGAATTGTGTGTGTTTCTAATATGGTCCATTGTTTTTAAGAGGAAGTATTCCTAATGCTTAACAGCAATCTTGAAAATTAGATGATTTTTTTTTTTAATTTTAAGGATTCTTCATACTTTCACCCAGCAGTCATGAACTATATGCCCAGTGATGATCAAATACTTAGTTCTTTCATGGTAAAATAGAAGAATAGAGACCAGTATACAGTTCATATCAAGTGGCCTGGTGAATTCTTGTTTCTTCTTAGCCTTTCTCCCTAACCACTCTTTTTCTAGCATTCCAATTTGAAAATATTTTTCTTGGTTACATTACTGTGGTAGTCAGACTGGGTAACTGACAGGAAATTCTCCTTTCCAGATATTTTTTTTTCCAATAGTTTCAACTATTATTCTGAATGACAATCTGATGGAATGAGCATATGTAATCGGGGAGAGGCAGTCCCTCAAATAACCTGGCCCGATGTCATGAAGGGCTTTAAAAGGTCAAAACCAGCACCTTGAATTGGACCCTGAAGCAGACTGGCAACCAATGCAGCTTGCGGAGCAGAAGCATAATGTGCTGTTCTAGAAGCACACATAACTGCCTGTGCCACTGCTTTCTGCACCAGCTGAAGCTTCTGAATACTCTTCAAGGGGCATGTAGAGCTCATTGTAGTAATCCAATCGGGAGGTGACTAGGGCATGAGTAACTGTGAGCAGAGCTCCCCGATCCAGGAAGGGGCGTAACTGGTGGACAATATGAAGCTGTGCAAAGGTCATCCTAACCACCCCCACCACTTGCTCTTCGAGCAGGAGTTGTGAGTCCAGGAAGTCCCCCAGATTGCACACCAGGTCTGTCTGGGGGCTGTACAACCCCATCCAGTATGTTTAATTAGGTATCAAGAACATATTTGAAGCGCCAAGTGTTAATGCCAATATAGGCATTGCCAGTGCCAAGTATCAATGCCAAAATAGGTATTGTCCTAAATCTCCATAAGATAAAAAGGAAAATTAGTTGACTGTAGGTTGGGAGTCACAAGACTGAATGTTTTTTGTTTCTTTAATCTGAATATGGGGAACTAATAGGTAGACTTTTTTCTTCCCAAGAGAAGCTGCCTCTCTGTAGCTCAGTTCTGAAAAAGAATAGATCAGTCCTAAGCATACTGCTTGAAGTCAGAATTTGGTTTATTTATTTTGTGAATAATATGTCTAACAGTATGTAATATAAACAGGCAATCTCAACTGAATTGGAAGTAGCTTTACATGAAAAAGAAGAAATGAAAGTTAGAGTTCATAATTACATTACTGAAGTCTCCAGATTTGAAAGCTTAATGGCCTCAAAGGTGAGAAATATTATGAAAATATTATTATTATTATTATTCTATAAATCAATTTTGTTTTTGGGTCTTCAAGTCATTATTGCCTCCTGGCCACTACATGGAAAAGTCCCTACAGTTTTCTTGGCAACATTTTTGGAAGTGGTTTGCCTTCTTCCTGTGGCTGAGAGACAGTGACTGGCCCAGTCACCCAGCTGGGTTCATGTCCAAGGCAGGACTAGAATTCATGGCCTCCCAGTTTCTAGCCTAGTGCCTTTACCAGTACACCAAATTGGCTCTCAAATAAAAATAAAATGAATTTCATTTTAATTTCATAAGTAAGATTGAAGTAAAGTAACCAAGATAGTGCACAAAGAAAAATTCTTCAGTCTCTACTTTGAGAGAATAGAATAGCATTGAGGGAATAACCCTTCTTAGCCCTTTGGCATTTAAGCCATATGCCACAGGTTTCCACTTTGTACCCAGTGTTTTAGAGAGATTTGAGCAAAATACTATCTGATTTAAAACAAGTTGGAGGTTTGGCACAAATGCACGCCTGTGATTGATTCATTGATACACACATGCAGATAGATGTACCTAAGTGTATATAGATGTGTGTATTGTATTTAAAAACTTCAGTTTGTGAATAGTGTACATATACACATCTAGATTACATCCAAAAATCTTTATTTTACTCCATTTAGGTATTTTAAAATTAGTGTAGCAGATTAATATAAGGAATAACATTCTTGTGTGTAATGATTAATTAATGTAACATCTGCTTCAAATCTTTTAGAGTCTTAACAATATAATTATTTTATTTTGAAGTAGAGTGATTATCTCATATAGAAAATAACACATATTCCGGTTTCTTCTATTACGGTGGAACAAGTTGCTGACTTAATTTCTAAACAGAAAAGAGGCCAAACAGTAGCTAATTGAGACATTTGTTACAATGATTTATTGCTCAACAGATACATTTTCTCTTAATACTAGGAAAGAGAAAATAAGGAATTATTGGAGAAGTTCCAAATGCTTCATAGTCAAGCTGAAGACTGGGAAGTAAAGGCCCATCAAGCTGAGGGACAAAGCAGCTCTGTACGATTAGAGCTCCTCTCAGTTGATACTGAACGAAGACACCTTAGAGAAAGAGTAGAATTACTGGAAAAAGAAATTCAAGAGGTAATTATACATTTTTAGCTGTATTTTGCTTCCTAGACCATTTTAATGTGCTTTTTTAATCAAATACCTTGACATTAATTGGACATTTGTACAAGGAGCAGGTGGTATTAATCATCTGTATGTTCTCAAGAGGAAAACTAATTTCAGATTTATGCCTGCTCTTGCTCAGTGCTTGTTAAGTCTTGCAAATGGTTGTAAATGTATTTTGGAACAGAAAAATACTCAGAAAAATACTTCAAGTTGATGTGTTATTTTGCTTGTTTCCCAATAAGTGAGCAAATAGGAAAATATAATTGGTGCATCCTATCCATGCTTGTAAAAAGAGTTGCTTTTGTCTTTCATGCAGCATATCATTGCACATCAAGCTTATGAATCACAAATCTCTTCAATGGCAAAAAATATGGCCAAGCTGGAGGAGGCTATCAGACGTGAAAAAGAAGAAAAATCTTCAATAAGTGTTGATGTGACTGCTGTTAGAGAATTATGTATCAAACTGGAATCTAGCAAAGAACTGCTCTCACGTCAATTAACAACCAAATCTCTGGATTTTGAGAGGGTAAAAGAGAAAAATGTTGCTCTTACAAGATATAAATCAGTTTTATGTTTAAGATAAAATGTTGACACAAAAATAGATATATATCCCAAGATTTAAAAATTTCCTGGCTTTGTCTTGCAGCCACTGTAGCTTGAAAAGCCTCCTAGGGAGAGAGAGGGGAAGAGAAGGATGTGGAGTACAGAAGGGTTTAATGGAGAAGTGGACAGGAACTATGGGCTTAGTTAAGAATCCAAGGCCAATCGGGGACAATTTTCCCTTTCCCAGAACCCCATATCACACTGTACATTATTCAAGCCTCCTTTTTTTTCAAAGTGACTTTTCATAGCTTCAGAGAGCCTGACATAGGATAGAAGGAACATAAGAGTTTCTGTGAACTTTATTTTTTTCATCAAAAAAGGAAGAAAACCCTAAAATAGAAATGTTTACCCAATAAGATCTCAGCTCAGAACTTAAAAGGCTAAATAACTCTTGTTTTTAGATATGTTCATTGAGATTCCTGCAGTGAGCAGTGTTTTGGACTTCATGTCTAAATGGTCCCTTCCAGCCCTAGAATTTGTGGCTTCATGGATTCAGTGTTAAGCTTCTTTCTATAATCTTCAAAGTGAGAGAGATAAGCCACATGGAGGCATGATATTTAGAATATATCATATATAAAATCCTGATAAAGTATTTTAAGATCCTGGCTGACCAAGCAGTCATAGATCACTTCTACTGCCCGTTATAGCTATAATCCTTAACCATGGTTAATAAGATCCATGATTTATTGCCTTAGCCCATGTTAAGTTCCTGAATCTGCAAAAGAAACTGGCTTTAACTTAGCTCAGTCCTTCTATCCCATTAGAATTCTTTTAAAATTATTTTTTTAATTTATTAGTTATTTGTGTGCCATCTACTTGAGCAATACTAGGCAGCTTACAATAGTACATTAAAAACATCCATAAATATAAAATATTAAAACGTTAAATCTTAAAATCACACACAGACACAGATCAAAATTTCATTAACTGAAAATGTGAAGAAGCAATAACTATTGTTAGGTAACAGATATAGCACTCTATCCTGATAAACACAAACTATGATTTGCAGATTTGCTCTCAAACATGCATTTACTTTAACTGCATTATTACTTGCAGTGGTTATCAGTGTATTTCTATGCCCAGTTCAAAATACTAATTTTGAAAATCAAACTGCTAAATAGTTTGGATTTAGATTATTTGAAAGACCATCTATATGCCTAAATATATTCATGTAGCCATTCTTAAAGTATTCCTACATTAAAATAGGGTTAAGAAAGAAATTACCTGATTGTATCTGTATAGAATTGGTACTGATTGTATCTGTATAGAGTCTGGGTAGACCAAAGTGTCTCTAAATGAAACCACATAATATTTACTATGAGGTTATTTATTAAAGAAATTCTTTTTATGCTCTAGGTCATGTCAGAATTTGAAGATGCAAAGGCAGAGGCAGAGCTGTTAAAAAAGCAGTTGTCGAGTGAGCGACTTACAATACAAAACTTGGAAACCCTCTTGGCTACCAGCAGAGACAAAGATTTTCAGAATCATTTGATAACCCATGAAAAAGATTCAGAGATACAGTTGCTCAAAGACAAGTTAACACTCTCAGAGAGTAAACTGTATGTTGAAAAGTAGAAAACTTTTGTTTCAGCTGTTTGTAATTTAGTGCAGAAACTTCTGGGTTCTTGAAAAATTTAATTGTATATATTTTTACCTGATGAAATCCAGATTCTCTGATTAGGAATCTTTATGTGAAAAGGGTATGGTTAGAAACTACAGGCTTCAAATATTTTGCCTGGAATTGCAATTTGCCTAACTTGCATTCAAAGATGAAATTACTCACAGAGGGAAGGATGGTTTTATGTGTTTCTTTATGTGTTGTTGTCTCTTCTTACCTTATGTGGTACCCTCTGCTGTGCAGAGTGTAAGATAGGGACTATAGTATGCTAAAAACAATGTGCTAAATCTGTGTTTTTCAAGCTGCAGTGCTGAAAAAAAAATTACACCAGTGTTTTAGATGATTATGGTTGTCACTACAAATACGTGTAGTATTGCCTATTCACATGCAAGTTTCTCATTCATTATGGGCACTTGGAAACTCAAAGATTGCAATGCAGAAGAAATTCTGTCAGCAGTCTGACAAATGTATGCATGGGTGTAAGTCCAATGTAGTTTCAGGTGAATGCATTTCCAAGTATGTATATTTTAAGTAGACTGTCTTGCAGTTAAGTAGTGGTTTCTTTATTTTAAGAACTTTTTGTATGCATGTGCACAAGTATGGGTATATTTTCTTAATTTCTAGTCTCTGTTTATCTGTTTGCTTGCAGCTATTTTTAAAGTCATTGTAAGATGCCATCTGTGAATGTGTAATAGTTAAGATTTTTCTTTGTTTCACAATATTTTTAGAACAAGTCTTAGTAGAGAAGTTTCTATACTCCGAAATAAACTTGCACAGCTGCAGACTGATTATGATATTGTGAAAAGACAGCTGACAACAGAGCAATTTGAACGGTATGTGAATTAGCTTTATTAAAAAGGCAACTGTATTGAGTCCCATTTGAAGAGGAAACCATAAAAGCATGCTTTTGCATAGAAAATATTAAAACCAGTTTAATAATTAATTATTCAGTATTGTTTCTTAGTTATATGATCTATTTCTTACCCTTCTTTTCATATTATTATATTACAATCTTAGTTATATAATTTACTTCTTACCCTTCTTTCCATACCATTGTGGTTTACAACACAAAAAGCAAACATGATGCATATTCAAAATGTATTACATTAAATATTACCATTTGAAATAAACCAGCTGCAATACAATACATTTTCAAAATGCCTATCAGTAAATATCACAAGGCCTTTCAGTTAAACATTAGTGGAAATTGATATGTTTTTAAAAAACCCTCTTAAAGTGGAAGTAGAGCTGGGATCAACTGTATGTTGCGTATGATCAGACAAGGCTTCCTCCCAGTAACCAAATGATTTGCCAGTGCAATTAGCATCAGGAAACCAGTGATTTGCTGGTTTCTGCAAGAAGCTGATTAACAGGCTGGTAGGAGGGCACTTTTGCTGCTGGCTGCTGAGAATCAGTTCTTTCTGCAAGAAAGATTTGCATTTGCAAGTAATGATGCTTGTTGCTTCCTCCTCCCTTCATATAATCTTTCTCAAGATCATTAGGAAGGAGAAAGGCAGGAGTGGCATTTATGCACAAGGGTATATGCATCCCCCAGCCCAGCAATGAATGTAGGAGATCTAAAGTTTATCCAGCTTTAGGCTAGATTATTACAACACATTTATCCCAATCTTTTTGTCCTAGCCAGCAGGAAAACATGAATTTGGCTTCACTTTTGCAGTCAGACCTATCCTTATTAAGCTTCTCTTCCGCTAATTTCTGTACTACCTAAAGTCTAATTCCTCTTCAAAGGCAGGCCTACACAGGAGAGCCAGTTTGGTCTAGTGGTTAAGGCACCAGGCTAGAAACCAGGAGACAATGAGTTCTACTAGAAACCAGGAGAAAGTGAGTTCTAGTTCTACCTTAGGCATGAAAGCTGGCTGGGTGACTTTGGGCCAGTCACTCTCTCTCAGCCCAACTCACCTCACAGAGTTGCTGTTGGGAAAACAGGAGGAGGAAAGAGTATTAGGTATGTTCACTGCCTTGAGTTATTTATAAAAATAATAAAGTTGATAAAAAATCTGAAAAAAAGAACAGCCTTCAGAACATTTCAAAAAGTGAATATAATTGTGGGCCAAAAAATATTGCACACCTTTGACTTGGAGTAGTAACAGTAATGTAGCAGAAAAAAAATGAAAGCAAATTTGCTTTGTTACTAGTTTTATTTTGTGTGGTTTTGCCCATTCTGATTTATTTTTCGTGGAATCTATTCCAAACTTTATAGCTTGTAGCTTGTATTGATACCAGTACAGCATAATTATTTTTAGCTCTCGTTCTTTCATATGGACATACTTCTCCTTTGTTTTAGTTTGATCTTTTAGGGGCAGTTTAGGGGCATACTTCTCCTTTAGTTTAGTTTGATCTTTTAGGGGCAGTTTCCTGTACTTAGTTGTTAAACTCCTGGAGAAAATTTTTCTTTTTTGTTGTCCTTATTACACACGTTTTCCTGCTGCAGGATTTGTAAATGTACATTTTTGTGATGTTAATTTTTTTAACCTAAGTTTCTATATGTTTTTAATTATTGGTTGTGTTTTTATTCTTTTTTTATTTTTTTAATTGTTAGCTGCCCAAAGTCATGTATATGAGATGGGAGGCCATATAAATTTAAGTAATAAATAAATAAGTTAGCGAAAGTTGTATAAGAAGACAAATTTGCATGTGTTTTATGGATCTTGTTTTAAAAAATTGTAAAAAAAGAAAGAAACTGGACAGATTGGTTATAAAAGCAGACCAGATTTATACTGATTAGTATATCTGTACAGTAGTGTTACACTGGAACAGGGTTGAAGCAGGGAAGATGGGAAGTTTGCATATTCAATCCTAACACTTTCCATTGCAGTGCTTCTTTTAGTCAAAAAAAAAGTTTTAAAAAAAAGGATTCTAATTTACTGAGTAGGAAAAGATGGTGACCAGCTTGTTTTCTGCATGAGAAAATATTTGGAAATGCAACCAGAGTTCAATTCTAATTTTCTACTTGATAGGGAACGTGCCATTCAAGAGATGCGACGGCATGGCATCTCTACCTCTTCTCTACATGCCTTATCCCCACTTAGCTCAACTTTGAGATCTCCATCACATTCTCCAGAGAGAGCATTTTCAGTAACAACAGAAAGAACAGAAAAGTAAGTAATTAAATAAATAGGTTAGATGTTTGTTTACTTTTTAGGCATATTAATTTGCATAATAGTTTTAAAATTACGGTATTTTTCCGTCAATAAGACAAGTCCGTCATGTACAAGACGACCCCCACTTTTCCAACCCCAAATTAAGAAATCAATATTTTAAAGATAGTGC